CTTGAAGTTGATACGACAAGCAAATAGAAAGGACATTGTTGGGTGGGAGGGGGGAGAGGGAAGAGGGAGGGGGGTTTCGGTAAAGGGCCATAAAAATCAACCACATTGTATATCGACAAAATAAAATTAAGGGGGAAAAAAAAAAGGTCTAACTTTCACATTATTAGACTTACAGAAGGAGAAGAGAAAGAGTGTGAATGCTAAAAAAAAAAATATTTAAAGATATAACGGCTGAAAACACCCTAAATTTGGCAAGAGATAAACCTACATGTTTCAAGAAGCTGGGTGAATTCCAAAAATGATAAATCGAAGAAGATCCCATACTCATCATAATCAAACTGCTGAAAATTAAAGACAGTGAAAAATCTTGAAAACGGTCAGAGAATAACAAAGCATTACCTACAGGAGAATAATGACTTGAATAAGAGCAAACTTCCTGTATGAAACTGTGGAGAAACTGGAATACTCATATACTGCCAAGAGGAAAGCAAAATGGTTCAGATGCTGAGGAAAACAGTTTGTCGGTTTCTCAAAAAGTTAAACACTGAATTACCATATGACCCTACAATCCCTAGGAAGATATATACCCAAAAGAAGTGAAAATAGGAACTCAAATGAATATATGCTCACGTATGTTCATAACAGCACTATATAAAGCCAAAAGGTAGAAACAGCCCAAATACTCATCGATAGATGAATGGGTAAACAAATTGTGGTATACATTCACAATTAAATATTATCCAGCCATAAAAAGGAATTAAGTACTGATATATGGTACAATGTGGATAAATCTCCAAAACATTATGCTAAGTGAAAGAAGTCAGACACAAAACGTCAAATATTATATCATCCCGTTTATATGAAATTTCCACATTAGATAAATCCAGAGATAAAATGCATATTGGTGGTTGCCAGAGGCTGACAGGAGAGGAGAATGAGGAGAAATTGCTTAATGAGTAAGGAGTGTTATTTCGAAGTAATGGAGATAAAGTTCACTTCAATAAATTATTCAGATCAAATAAAACAATATAATCTAAATCACTGTACCTATCACAGGTCCAGTATCCCAGTAAAAAGCCTTGGAATCCTTTCTGCCATTGGACCTCTGTTGAAGCTATCTCAGTTCTTCAAAGAGGTTTCATTACAGCTGAAGTGAAAAGAAAAGTGACCAGAGTCTGAACTGCAATCTCCATGGCTCCTATTCAAATTTGGTTACTCCAATAATCTAGGATCTTTGCATACCAAGAGGTATTGAG